ACAGTGCAGGACAGGAGAAACCTTCCTTTGAGTTGTTGGCCAGGGTAGTCCCAAAATTACAGAGACTCCCAAAATTACACAGGCTATTGCCACAGTTCTTGACTGCCTCCCAGCACTTGATGGTAAGACCCTATTGCTAAAGACAGGTCATGTACTTTGGACACAGGATTTGGAGCAATGGAGCTGGAACTGACCTGGAAGCCATGTCCCCTGAAGGCTAGCTCTCATAGCTTTGGAGCTGGAACTGACCTGGAAGCCATGTCCCCTGAAGGCTAGCTCTCATAGCTTTGGAGCTGGAACTGACCTGGAAGCCATGTCCCCTGAAGGCTAGCTCTCATAGCTTTGGAGCTGGAACTGACCTGGAAGCCATGTCCCCTGAAGGCTAGCTCTCATAGCTTTGGAGCTGGAACTGACCTGGAAGCCATGTCCCCTGAAGGCTAGCTCTCATAGCTTTGGAGCTGGAACTGACCTGGAAGCCATGTCCCCTGAAGGCTAGCTCTCATAGCTTTGGAGCTGGAACTGACCTGGAAGCCATGTCCCCTGAAGGCTAGCTCTCATAGCTTTGGAGAGCACTACACAAGCTGCTAAGGGAGAACATCAATCAATGGTCCAACCCTAGCTTCCAGGCCTAAAAACCACATCAACGACCAGCACAGCAAATGACATTGATGCAGTAGTGGCACTTTTATCTTGGGGGTGATCAACAGCTACCTAATTGAACTTAAAGTCCACTCAGTGGGAGGAAACTCATGTGTGATACTGTAAACACAGCCAAATGCACATAGCTGGAGAGGTCATAGATCTTAGAGAAAACCCAAGGCTCTCGTATCCCTAGTCAAATGTAATTTCTTACTATGTGCAAAATATGGATCCTTAAATTTACAGACAAGTATCCTAGTCACCACCCATCAAATTAGCTTCTTTTTCAACAGACACAGATTACAGAATTATACCACTGGTCATACACAGAGATTCTCTGTGAACTGCCCAGGCCTAAGTGTTACATCTAGGATGCATCCTCTACACCTAAGACTCACAGAACACAGAACAAGGGATGAAGAGAACACTAATGCATCTTTCAATACTCATCAACAAAGCTCCCTCATGCAACAGAGGGCCAGGAACACAAAAGGCCACAAATGGCCAAAACGCAGAGAGTAAGAGTCTACAGAGTATGCATCCTTGGCTAGACTCCTATTTTGAGGTTCCCCCCACTTGGGGTTCACGAACCATTGCGGAAGAGGGGACAGAAAGATTCTAAGAGGCAGGGAGGTAGTGTAGGACCATATAGAAATGGTCCTACAGGCGCCTGGGACCCTTCTCATACAAACCTACAGCAACGATGTCAGCAAGCACAAGACCCATGCAAACTTAAGCAGACAAAAACCCAGCACAGAACTGTGGAAATGGACAGCAAGCTCCAATCTTAGTTGTAGAATTATTGGCAGCTGATTACTGCTGGGTGAGGAAGAGTTGATCTCCTTGAAGGGAAAGACTCTACACAGGCTGACTAAACCCTGGTAGATGAACTTGTACTGAGGAACATCTGGGAACACTAACTTGACATGACAGGCCTTAACACAAATGACAAAATGAATGAATTCTAGTCGGAGGGGGGACCCCTATAGAACAGTGCCAAAGGTGAAGAGGGTATAAAGATGATTTTCTGTATGAAATATACAAAATTTCAATTAAAAAAAAAAAAAAGAATTGAAAAGGGGCAGGAAGTAGAGATGGCTCAGCCGTTAAGAGCACTGGCTGTCCTTGAGAGGACCCAGGTTCAATTCTCAGCACCCACATGGTGGCTAACAACCTATCTGTAAGTCCAGTTCCAGGGAATCCAATGGCCTTTTCTGACCTCCATGGGCACTGCATGACATGGGTGCACTTACATACAGGCAGGCAATACTCACATACTTCAAAAACTCTAAGATACAAAATCAATAGCCCAAATCTAAGAATCCATGGGATAGAAGAATGTGAAATACAAATTGAAGGTATAGAAAAATTATTCAAATGCTAGAGATGGCTCATAAGGTAAAAACTTACAGTCAAGGTTAATGACCTGAGTTTGATCCCTAGAATGCCACAAGTCGTCCTCTGCCCTACACATGTAGGTGCTATAGCACACACATCCACACACAATAAAAATAAACTTAAAAAGAAAAAGGAAAAACAGGGCTGAAGGGATGGCTCAGTGGTAACCAGCACTTACTGCTCTTGCAGAGGACACAAGTTCAGTTTCTAATATCCATACAGAGGCTTACAACTGTCTGTAACTTCAGTTTCAGAGGATCCAACCCTCTCTTTTGGCCTCTGCCCGCACTGCACACACATGCTACACATATATAAATGTAAGCCAAACACTTATACACATAAAATAAAAATTAAAAAAAAAAGTCAATGAAGGTTAGTGACATAGCTCAGTTGGTTCAAGCACAAAGGTCACAAAGGTCAAAACAGTATAAAGCAAGTATGGTATACAAGCCTGTAATCCTAGTATTCCCAAGTTGGAGGCTGGCGTATCTAGAGTTCAAGATCATTCTTGGCAACATATCAAGTTTAAGGCCAGCCTAAGATACATGAAACCCTGTTGTTTTTCTTTTTTTCCTTTTTTTTATAAAAGGGTTGGAGAGATGGCTCAGCAGTTAAGACCATTTATTGCTCTTGCAGAAAGAAGAGGGAGCCTCAACTGAAGAATTTCCTAGTTGGCCTGTACCAGATCCATGAGGCTTTTTTTTTTTTTAACTGTTAATTGATGGGGGGGATTGGGGGAGGGGCAGTCCACTGTAGGCAGTGCCATCCCTAAGCAGGAGGCCTGGGTTCTGTAAGAAAACTACCTGAGCAAGCCAATAAATAACATTCCTCCTATGGTTTATGCTTCAAGTTCCTCCTGCCTTGAGTTCATGCTTTTCCTTCCCTTGATGATGGACTTTAACCCATAGGCAAAAAAACCAAAAAACCAAAAAAACCCTTTCCTCCCCCAAACTGTTTTGGTCAGTTTTTAACATAGCAACAGAAACCAAACTAAGGCAAGTACACACACAACAAAGCTAGGTCTGGGGACATACCCTGTAGTCTCAACTACTCAGCAAGCTGAGGAAGAAAAATCACAAGTTCAAGGTGAATCTGGGCTATAGATGAAGTTCAATGCCAGCTCAGGCAATGCAGAAAGAGCCAGTCTCAGGCAGGCATGGTGGCATAGGTCTTTCTAAAACAAAACATTCTAAGTACAACCCAGTCTCAAAATAAATAGAAAAGAAGAGCTGGGGTCTGGAGAGTTGCCACAATGGATAAATTGCTTGCTGCATAAGCATGAATATATGAGTTTGGATCCTCAGTACTCATGTAAAAGCCAGGTGTGGTGGTATATTCCTTATAATCCCATGGCTCGATAGCAGAGAAAGAAGCATCCCCAGGGCTCTCTGGCTAGCTAGTCTAACCAACTGGTAAGTTCCAGGTTTACTGACAGTCCTTTTCAAAAAATAAGGTAGAAACTGACTGGGAAAGACACTTAACCAACATTGACCTCTGGCCTCCACATACATGCATATCCATCAGCACATGCATATCCATCAGCACACACAAGCACACCGTGCACACAAAGAAAAATTCTATTTCTGAAAGATTGTTAGGGTGGCCGGGCATGGTGGCACATGCCTTTAATCCCAGCACTTGGGAGGCAGAGGCAGGGAGACCTCTCTGAGTTCGAGGCCAGCCTGGTCTCCATAGCGAATCCAGGCCAGCTGGGGATACAAGGAGACCCTGTCTCAAAAAGACCACCCCCCCAAAAAAAAGAATGTTAGGGGTTGGTGGGGATTTATCTCAGTTGTGAAGTACTTGTCTAGTAAGCACAAGGCCCTGGGTTTGGCTCTCAGCTCTGAAAAATAAAGAACAGTAGGTAGAAACAAAAACATTTTTTACTGCAAACCATAGCAATAATTAGAATGTACAAAAACTTTGGGGCTGTAGAGATGGCTCAGCGGTTAAGAGCACTAGCTGCTCTTGCAGAGAACCCAGGTTCCATTCCCAGCACCCATATGATGGCTAACAACCTTCTATAACTCTGGTTCCAGGGGATCTGATGCCCTCTTCTGACCTTAGTGGGCATTGTGCAACATGAGTGCACATATACACACAGGCAATACACTCATATACATAAAACAAAAATAATAAAGTTTTTTTAAATGTACAAAAATTCATCAATGTCTGTGCAATTGGCACTGCAGCACCTAGTGACCCTGGGATTTGTCACCCTGTCAAAAATCAGCCAAGTTATCAGTTTTCTAAATCAAATTATACTTTTACACTAAACTTCACAATTTCTTCACTTAAAAGGTGAATGGGCCAGGCATGGTAGCGCACGCCTTCAATCCCAGCGCTGGGGAGGCAGAGACAGGCTGAGTTCAAGGCCAGCCTGGTCTACATAGTGAGTTCTAGGCCAGCTGGGGCTACAGGGAGACCCTGTCTCAAAAAGACCAAAAAAAAAGGTAATGGAAAATATATCTTTTGAAGTGTTAACAGTGTACAAATGATCTCCCATGACCTGAAAATAGCTATACATGGTCAATGCACTTAAAACTATTAAGTTTATGGCTGGGCATGATGGTGCACGCCTTTAATCCCAGCACGACATAGTGAGTTCCAGGCCAGCTGGGACTACAGGGAGACCCTATCTCAAAAAGACAAAAAACAAAAAAAACCTACTACCTACTACGTTCATGAAATCCTATCTCAAAATATACCAAAAAAAAAAAAAAATCCTATTAAAATGGTCCACAAGGGCTGGTGAGCTGGCTCAGCAAGTAAACACATTTGTCTCCAAGCCCAACAGCCTGAGTTTGATCCCCAAGACCTAGACAGTAGGAGAGACCTGACTCCTGCAAACTGTTCTCTGACATCAACATGGGCACCATGGTATGTGTATACTTATGTGCACACACACACACAAACACACAATAAAAATCTATTTTTAATGGCCCATGGACATTGATAAGTACCTGAGACTTGACACGTCTTGTTCTCTTTGGCAGAATACTCATTCTTGTTCCTGGAACTGGAGAAGTCTGGGTATCAGTGCTGGGAATCTCAGGCTCCACTTTTTCTTTAAGATCCAAATCAGGCATTTGTACCCCCTAATGGGTAAGAACACAAAAAAAGGAAGCAAATTCACCAAAAAAAATCAAATATAAGAATGGAAAAATAAAGACAAATTTCCAGTAAGTTCCTAAAACTACAGGAGACCAGAGAGCAATTCTCAGTATCTTATAGGTTCAAAGCAATCTTTCACAAAGCAAGATTTCTATTTTGTTTTTCAGAAAGGGTCTTCTGCAACCTCAAACTCCCAAGGTAACACAGAATGACCTTCAATTTCTGATCTTCCTGTGTACATCCCTGATTACAGGCATGCATTACCACACCCTGCTCCTAGGACTCAGTTTTTCCCCATATTCTCAGCAGGACTTCATTCATAGAGATCAAATACAAATGCTAGAATACATGTGAAAATATTGAAACTGTTTGAAGTAATTTGAAAATAGAAGAAACAAAATTAGAGAACTTACACTACTGAGTATCAATTCTGACTATAAAAGAATACTCGGGGCTGGAGAGATGGCTCAGCAGTTAAGAGCACTGACTGCTCTTGCAGAGGACCCAGGTTGAATTCCCAGCACCCACATGGTGGCTACAAACCATCCTTAACTCCAGTTCCAGGGGAATCCGAAGCCCTCTTCTGACCTTTGCGGCATTATACAACACGGGTGCGCTCACATACATGCAGGCAATACACTCATACACAAAATAAAAATAATAAATAAAATTAAACAAAGAACAATATTCAAAGTGCAATAGTGACTGGAGAGATGGCTTAGCAGTTAAGGTGTGTGTACTGCTCTTGGAGAGGACCCAAGTTCCAATTCCAGCACCTATGTTGGATAACTCACAACCACCTCTAACTCCAGCTCCAGGAGGATCTGACACTGTTGGCGTCCATGGGTATCTGTACTCGTGGGCACATACCCTGCCACAGACACAGACAAAATAAATCTTTAAAAAGAGATAGTGTGTACTGGTGATAGGGTAGATATACAGTAGTTCCTCCTATCTGTGGGAATACATTCATCCCCAAATCCCCAGTAGATGCCTAAAATTGTGCATGGTGCTGAACCCTATATGTTTTATACTGTTCATGTATTACCTATGATAAATTTCAACTTCTAAAATAGGCACAAGATGCTAACAATAAAAATAAAACTACAGGGGCTGGAGAGATGGCTCAGCAGTTAAGAACACTGACTGTTCTTGCAGAAGATCCAGGTTCAAATCCTAGCACCTACATGGTAGCTAACAACTGTCCATAACTTCAGTTCCAAAGGATCTGACAGCATCTTCTGTCCTCCATGGGCATTGCACGACACAGGTGCACTTACTTACATGGAGGCATAACACTCAACAACATAAAATAAAAAATAATGAATAAAATTAGAAAAAAATAAACTACAGCAGTATATAATGTCATAAAATTGTTGTCTCTTGTACTCAAAATATTTTATTATACTTTCACCTTTCTACCTAAATTTATTGCTCTAAATTTAGAGCTTTTCTCTTTGGCATATCTAAATTGTCAACATCATTACACTTGTTCTTTGGGATCATTAGCAAGTAAAATGGGGGGGGGGGGTGTAATTCCAACAGTAAATCTAATAAATGGCTCATAATTATCTAAAAGGCAGAGATAAAGAGATGATTGATAACCTGGGTAGGAAAAGTACTAGACTTTATATTATTCAAAATGAAATGTAAATGAAACTCATGGATTATGTATTTCTGGAATTTTCCACTTAATTTTTTA